CATAATATTAAAAAGCAAAAAATTGTCTTTAATGATGCACCGCTGTATATCGGACGTTCTTACAACCAAGCCGATGGATTTAATGGCAAAATCAGGTACGACTTATCATGATAATAAAATTTATCTACTGTATATCATCAAGATATTTAATAATCATTTTATCAAATAGCAATGTTCGTTATTTCAACTGGCGTTTATGTGCCGAAGAAGTGAAGGAAGATTTTTTTGTAAGTTTCTTTAGAATTTCGCATCATGAACATTTAAGGCAGCACACTGACAACTTTTATTTGAATTTCAGAATAATAAAATTTCATATGGCTCTAAGGTCGCTCTTGTTCATGTACCCACTGGAAAATATTTGTCTACTAAAGGAATCAAATATGACTCGGATAAATGCGACCCGCAATATATGGTATTTATCACTACTTCCTTTTTTCTTAAACCTTAACATTGTAAAATTCATTTATAAATTTATAAAGGTCGTTGGTAATGGGCGGGAAATAGATTTTAATAATGATGTGTTTACTGTTATTGAAGCTTTTAATACAAGTGTGAGTGCGGGAAGTCCAGTGCCTTTTAATACTTTAGTTGGATTTAAGCATCAAGCAACTGGAGGAATTTTACATTCTCATACCATGTATTATGGAAGCACACCACTAATGAAGCATCAGCAGGGTTTGTTTGTGCTAATAAAATTATAAACATAATCATTTGCATATTAGTTTATTAAAAAATAAATTTGCTTTAGTTACCATCTGGCCTAAAAGAAATGGTGACGATGACTGGCTCATTCGACGTTATAACTCAAAAGAAGACTCAGGTTATTTATCGGATGGTGATATAATCATCCTAATCCATGATAAATCCAATAAGACAGCACTTTATAGTCATCCCATGTTATTTGGTGATGGAACCCAAGAAGTTTCTTGTCATGGAATTGGAAATGACGAAAATAATAAGGTGACTACTTTACAGATTCACTCAAAATGTAACATGCCCATTTTATATACTAATATTATAATTCTTTTTAGTGGCGTATTGAGTTAGTTGATTGATGACTCGGAATTTTGATGAGCTATTTGTAGGGAATCTCGTTTCAATCTTAAGAAATGATTGTCGCTTAACCTTTTACAATTTACTATATCTTTTTTATGTTATATTATTTATACAAACAAAATAAAGATTTCTTTAGACCACTAGACAAGAAATAGGTAATGTATTTTTTTCCTCAAAAATGAAGTAGGCTATTATGAATGGCTCCAGAAATTTTTTGCAAATTGAATCTGCAACAGACTTTAAAATGTAATATAATTTGTAATACCTAAAGCCAACGGAATTAAGTGTAGTAATTATCTCACGTGAAGTTTACTTTTGCCGAGAAATAATACTCGAGTTTATTTTCATGAAAAAAAAAGAGAGAACAACGCTCAACTTCCTTAGCTGTTAAAATAGTTATCTGTTTATCAGAAATTAACCAAATGATTACGAAATTTACGAGTGAATCTGATTTTTATCTTTTAAAAACCTTCGATGAATTTCCTATAAAGTTAATCGATAATCGAAAGAATGATGTTGGAAAACCGTGATAAAAAAGTTTTAATGAACGGAGCAATTGAACGTTCAAGTTCGTTTAAACTTTTTATTCCTGATATTTTTCAATTAAATTCGTTTACTTTTGTAAATTTTAGTATATGATATTTTCGTGTTTATCATTAATGATTTTGAGATTTTTCAGAGAAATTATTACGAGAATCCTGTAATTTTCGTTGCAAATCACGTAAAAGTATAAATATTTTATTTTATTGGCTAAATTTATTTCCTTAATTATTTACGCGATTGTAAGTTAGTTGATTTTGATGAGGTGAGTCAAAGTGAATGTGACTAGTGAACAAATCGGATCGGGTTTAGGATAAACTCGAACCCGACAAGAATAGTCAATCATCTGGTCATAATTTACATAACCGAACTCGAAAAACCAGATTATAGTTTAATTCGGACCACTCGAATTTTATAATTTATTGTATAATACTGTATTTTGAAATCATTTATTGTATAATAATATAATATTTGAAATTTATTTCATAATATTAGGTTTATACGTTGAAAATAATCCTAAATTAAATTAAAAGTTACAGTAAGTTCTTCTTAAGAAGTACATTTGTAACTCGCTCACAACTCAAAGCTTTTCGTATTCTGGTAATTTCATTTTCAGGCATATCTCACTAGATCAATTCTGTGAGTGTGATCCTTGTTAGTTAAAATAGCAAATGCTTCACCATCTTTGCTTTTTCAATTTTGTTAGGCACTATTAGTTTTTGCCTTTTCTCTAATTTATCTAGGGTTTCTCGAGTGCCCCATAATTCTAAATCTGTTTTCTTTTTTTAAAAGGTCTTCACAAGTTATAATCACCTACTGTAATGTCAATAGCTTCACCCATTGTATAATAGTTACAATCGTGTGTGATAATCCGGGCGGCCTCTGTAAAAATAAAAGTTTAGACAATTTAATTATAACCGACAGAATATGCAAGCAGATAATTACCATATTAAAAATCTAATTAATACATGGTTACAATAATTCAAAAGAAAATAATCTAAACAAATTCTTGCCTTTTTAAACCCAGCTTGTTTGCTTAGCATAATGATTTACTTTAATTTTAATAAAAAACGACTCATTTAAAATAAGGTGAAATATAATTCAGATATGTAATGTAATAAATAAACTTTTTTAAAAGCTCAAAAAAATCTTTAGCAATGCAATCAAGCTGGTAAGTAAATGAATATGTATTTGTTGAAAAATAATTTAAGAAAATGCTTAATTCTAAAGTATTAAAAATGAACTTGCATCAAAAATTTTTTTTTTTTGAAAAATATTTAATTTTAGATACTTTTTCAAATAATATTGAAAATTTTTCGAATTAAAAGATCATTTGAATTAAAGAGAGGGAGGGAACTTATATTACAATGTATTTATCAGAATTTATTGTCAAAAAAAAAATGGTTTGAGATTTTCTGGAATTCTAAATTGATAAAGAACGGTTAAAATATTAAGCACGTGAATTGCAATTCCTTTAGTCATTATAAAAATCATTCTATATTTTTTTCCCTTATATTGAACGGTTATTTGATACCTGCTATATCACTAACCAACATATCATCTCATCCTTTTAGATTAATATTACCAAAGAATAATTAATAAATCAGTTCTATGCATGATAAATCTGTTATATTTTGATAGTAACTTCACAGGTTATCAGAGATTACTTCACACGGTAAGCGGTAAGCAATGCATTGGTTGGATATTTTGCCACTTCGTGGCAAAATCCACCAATCAATGCATTTCTATAGTAAACTGTGGAGTTACGATATAACAACTTCATTTTTTTTATTATGCCAAAATCCAAATTGTCATTAATAAAAACTTTTTAAACCTTTTTTTTAATATTTAATAAAATCTAATAATTATTTTATTATTTAGCCAATTTTAAATATAATGAACCTAATGATAGTGATATATAAGCAATTATTAATTGTATTTCAATAAATAAATCAACTAATAACTGGGTTTCGTGTAAATTTAAATGGTGAAATTGATCTTCAATGCATACATATTTTTATAAAGAGACTAACATTCATATTTTTAGAATTCAAAACGATTCTGCACAAAAGAATTTGATTGAGAGTCAATTAATGACAACTGATCCCTCACTTCCAACGAATTTTTAAAGAAAATACTTTACAGAAACCCGTGATTTTTTATTAAATAGTCACGTTGTTAATTAAAACTTGTCGCAAATTAGTTTCAATCTTGTAACTGCATATTTTCTTAACGAAGTCGTAAAAAATTAATAATAATTCATTAAAAATCAGTTGCAAAATTCGTAATAATTTATAATAAATGTTTTAAAATTTTTTTATTAATGTTGAAAATTAGTTGAATAAAGTAATCTTATAAATTATGCGAAGTTTCGGCAAGTACTTGTAGATGAATTTAATATGAAAAATTACTAAATATTTAACGCAAATAATAAATTAACGCTTTAATAAATGTGAAATAAAACTTAATATAATTTTAATAATAAATTTTTCGAAAATAATTATAAATAAATGCATTTTTGACGAAATTTAAAAATTTAAATTTTATAAAAAATTTAATAGATAAATTTTTTGCTAAATAAAATTTAAAATCAATAAACACCAACTAAATACAATTTGATATTAATAAAAAAAAAGGTAATTTATAACTGTAAATTGCTGGCGAAGTTTATAACATTTCGTGATGGGACTATGATGCTTTTCATTAAGTATCCAAAGTTTTGGTCTTTTCGGTGTCCCTTGATGAATAATTAATAGCAAATGCATGCTGAATAAATTTACATAAATAAGGCATGGAACCTTGAGCGCGTAATTCATTCATATTAGTGGCGTTCAACCACCGACCCAGCACGCGAACCGTTTCATACTCATTAACAAAAGTAATAATTTCTTCTTTTTGTAAAGGGCTCGTTGTAGGCCTAAATTAATTAAATTATTATTAATTGTAAAATAAAAATAATAAAAAAGAAATATTAATTTAACATTTAATACTAACAATCTTCTTTTTTTCTTGAACATTCTAACCGAATCTTTAACACCGCTAACTACTTATTACAGAAATCACCAAAGTGCCTATTTGCTGTTTGAATCCATTCAATACCCTCGGCATCGTTGAGGTCACACTTTATAACATTTCTTATCAATTCTTCAAGTACACTTTTCTGGGGATTCCGAATGCGAAGGAAGAGACATTTCACTTCTTCTAGTAAATCACGACAAGCCTTCGCCTTATTATCTTGCTTTTGTGGTAAAGTAAATCCAGAAGATATGAATAACATTGCTTCTACAGCTGGTGTCTGCATTGATAAATGCATATTATTTGCTAGCTGTAGAATATTAGGGTTCATACACAACCATGAACAAAGATGATAAATTGTCATTTCATTAAATGGTAATAGAATGACTTCACTAATTGCTGTATTGAAATTTGTCATATTTTGAGTAGGAATGAACGTATTATTAAAAACGTTCAATGCATTATCTCTTGATTTTAAAGGTGTCGATCTTGTCAGTCTTGAAGGTGATGATACCGTTCTTGAGAGTTTATTTAAAGAATCAGGTTCATTACTTGATTCCAGAGCTATTGATGAAAAAAAAATCATCAATTGGACTATTTGCTCTTGAATCTACTGTTGACTTCATTCTTGATTGAAAGTTTGTATTTAAAGGAATATATTCTTGAAAATTAGCTTCTGGCTCTAGGATTGACATTAATCTTGAGTTTCGTTCTGTTTCTAAAGAGCCTTGTTGTAAAATTTCTTTATCATTGCTATCATTAAAATCGGTATTATTATTTTATAATTAACACTATCATCTTTTAAGAGTTCAGCAATAGTTTGTAGTGATGAAAGATCAAATTTTTGTTTCCTTTTATAACTTCTTTAATTTTACTTTGCTAATTATCAATACTATTATCATTTAAAGATAAAGGAGGTGAAGAATCAACTATTTCTTGTTGCTTTTTCTTGCGACCTCGCTTGGCACCTGTATTTTTATTCTGTACAGTAATAATATTGTTATTTAAAAGATCATTAAGATTATCTTGAATATCTTCTTCCTTTTGAGTAACTGCTTCTTTTTGTTTCTCATTATTATGTGTAGTTAACTTTTTATTTGTATTATTTTTTGTATTTCTTTTTACTCATTATTATTTTTTGATAAAAATAAAATAAAAAAATAAAAAAAAATAATTAAATAATTATCATTATTGTTATTATACTTTTAAACTTTTAGTTTAATTATTAATTACTAAATTTGGTTAATAATAGCCAATAGCAGGAAACTTTAACATGTGATAATAAAGAACCTATTATATAAAAAAATAAAAAATAAATACGAAACTAATTATTATTAAATCAGGTTAATAATAGCTAACTGCAGAAAACTTTAACCTCAATTTTCCTGAAAATTTCCAACAAATGAGTCACTTCGTAAGAAAATATTGACAAGATATTGAAAATGTTAAGAAGGCAAATAACATGTTAAAAGAAAATAATATTAAGTTACTTTTGATAATTATCAACTTCTAGGAAAATACCAAGTCAGACAAATTAATAAATCTAATGGATAAAATCTACCAGGAAGAAGAACCCATGAAAAATAAAATTTCTGAAGAACTCCTGCGAAAAAGAAAAACGCAAAAAAAATATGCTTAAGAACTAGGAATTACCCCTACAGCCTTATCTAAGAGAATTAAAAGAAGAAAAAAAATTCTTCGACGGAACTCAAATCTAAGAAGAGGGAAATGTGATAGGTAAAATTTTAGATAGATTTAATTGGTAGAATATGAAGTTAATTTTATTGCTATGTAAATCTTCTATAAAGATCATTTTGTCCATTTTATTACCATAATCAATTATGAAAATCCTTAGATGTCAATTTTATTGCCTTTGATAATCATGTAGATTATAGATGTCTATTTAGTTACCTGCAAATCTGGCAATTTTATTGACACAACAACTTTATTGCCTTCGATATATTTAGTTTATTTTATTTTATTATTTATTCAACATTTATAAATATCTCTGTATTTTTTTTTGAGTCTTAGCACTGACGAGATATCAATCTTTTAGATACTGAACTTATATATTATATTAATAAAGAAGTATAATTAACCAAGTATTAAACTTATCCTTCACAAACCCATTGAAACTGTTATAAATTATCTGTGACCCTTTGTCATTCGTGCAATCCATTTAGTTAGTGAACTTCTTATATGATATTGTATTGATTCATTATATTGACTTGGAGTCTCTAAAGCGTAATCTCTAAAATATCTTTGAGTTATCTTTATGTTTATCTTGTGTTTATCTCACATGTTTATATTGAGAATAATTCTTTGACGTTATTGTAAATCCTCACCCATGATTTCTTAAGTAATTGTCTTAGTTTTATTTACCCTTTTGAGAAAATATTTGAAGTTACAAAACCCAACATAATAATATATATAATAATAGAGATGTTTACAATCATTTTTTTTATTATTATAAAAAAATATAGAAATGAAAATTTTATAAATTAACAAAGATCTATTTTATATATTTATTTTATTATTAAATTATCAAAAATTTCTTTTTGTTTTATTTTAGATTTGATCAGTTCTTCACTTTAGCTAAGAATTAGATAGAATCTTTAAATGAAACTATCCAATAGTGAAAGTAAACTGTTGATATATTTTTCTTTTAATTTTTTTTGTTTAATATATATATTTTTTTAATATTAATATAATTTTTTTATTTTTTAGATTCAATTGATTCCTTTATTTTAACTATAAATCAGATAAAATCTTTAAATGAAACTGTTTAATTTATCATTATAATGAAGGTAAGCCATTAATATATTTTTTTAATTTTTTTTCATTTAATATATTTTTTATTTTATTAGGTTTGATTAGGTCCTTTATTTAGGCTAAGAATTAGACAGAACCTTTAAATAGAACTATTTAGCTTATTACTACAGTGAAATGAGCTAACTAATTTTTTTTTGATTTATTATTTTTTCTTTTTCTTATTTTAGTAATTAATTTGATTACTAATTATTATTTTATTTTATTTGTTTTAATTTTTTTTAGGCAATTTTAGGTTTAATCATTGGTGATTTTTTTATTTTTTCTTAGATTAGATCAGTTCATCCATTAGGATTTTAGTTATCATAGCAAATGTTTTTAATGATTCTTTCATTATTTTAATTAATAATCATAATTATTCAGTTTCAATTTTTTTTAAAATTATATATAAACAACAGTTATTCTTATCAATATTAATATTGATATTGATATTAATATAAATAAAAATAATCTTTATAGTTCTTACATAAAGCTAACTAAATTTATACCTATTCCTTCCTTTTTTAAAAATAGTCATATATTTACTATATAAAGTAAAATCATCTGATACTAATATTTATATAGCATAAATTGTATATAGTATTAATTAAAATAATTAATAAATACATCATGAAGAAAACTAAGTATTATTAAGCATTTAGTAAATACTTTAAAACTAATTTTTTCAAATGCTTATTAAACATATTTGAATAAACCTTATATTCAATAAACATTGGTATTCTATTATAATTACTTAATGTTATATATTATTTTAATATTAAAATATAATATAATTTCATTATATATATAAAATATTTATAATATATTTACCAATAGTATTAATTTTATATTATATATTTAAACAATAATTATATTTATTTATATTATATGTTTAAGCTATAATTTTTATTAATTATATTTATTAAGCAATTAATTATAATTGTAATTTTAATTTTATAGTATTTACAATTTTAATTAAATAATTTTTTTATTCTATATAAAATATATTATTAAATAATAAGTGCTTATAAGTAAATATGTTGTTGTAAATGTAAAAATCACTTACAATTTTTTTGACTCACAACTTCTCAAAGTCAAAGATCTGCATCTTTTCAAGAAAGCAATTCATCCGCTTTACAACTTCACTTAAAATCATATTAATACCTTTGATGGATTAAGATAATTTAAGGCAACAGTCTTCTCAAATATAATAAAATTTTTATCTGTATCTAGATTTGTAAAAACATGATCAATAATCAGATTAAGGTAAGTGTAATGTGAATTATCATTAAGATCCACAGGTTTATTTAATTTCATATAACATTTGCGTATAATATTAGAATCTTTAAATTTCCATTCTTCATCATGTGTAATCTGTCAATTTTCTGTTTTAGGCTTTATAAGTTCTAAAAATTCCATATAAATAATATCTTTAATATATTGTATAATATTACTTCATGCTTAGCGTAAAAATCTTTAAGCCTATTAAAAGATTAAGCGAGATTAAGATAAATCTATATAAATAATCATTAATATTTACTTACTAATTATCGAACATTCTTATTAAAGAAACGTTTCTATTCACTATACTTTATTTTGTGTTGAAACTCTTCCTTATTTTCATTTAATAAAGCATCATAACATACTTACATAAGATGATCATCACTTGAATATTTGACTTTCTCAGCAGCAGAATAAATTGATTGGCTAATTAAATCCTATCATAAATGTTATAAATAAGTAAATATATTAATTAAAAAAATATACTGATATTTAATATCATTTACTTCAATCTACTTAATATCATTTTTAGTATGACCAATGAAGCCAGTAGATTTCCAATCTATATGCATTTCATTAATCTTTTTCTGAATATCTTGAATTGCTATAACCATTTGATCTTGTATATTCTATATATTACTAATTGCTAAAGCAAGTCCTAAAAGAAATAAAAAAAATATAATTAAATAATGATTATAGTTATAAAGCAATAAATAGTCAATAAACTTATATATCTTCTTTTGTGTATTTATGTCTTCATTTTCTGTATCTTTAACCTTTCATTTATTGTTAAAAGAGAATATTATCTCATTTTCTGAAGTAAAATCATCACAAGATTCTTATTATCATTTAGAAGATGACTTTCTAAATCAGGCAAAGTATGGTTATTATCAAACTTATTTAATCAGCTTTCTATATTCACATCTTTAAAAATCCAGTTATCCAAGCCTAGCTGGGTAGTAAAACTATCTGGTGTGCTTGAGGTATCTGTTGATTTATCTGAAAGATTAATATAAGATAAGATATGCTAAGCATTTTTGCATAATGTAACAGATGTTGCTCACTTTCTGCGACCCATAATTGTAAAAAAATTGTATATTTCTAAAATAAATCAAGTTAAAATATTGCTTCAAATATAAATATTTAATCCTGTATTGTTACAAATCTTACCACTTATATATTAATGGTAAATTATTCTTGTTAATCATAAAGAAATGGTTAAATGAATGAATTGAAAGAAGTTGATCCAATGAATAGTTTGAATAATATTTAATTTATAGTCTTATTTATAGTCTAATTTTATATTACGTAACTTATGATTTGAAAATCATGTGATGATACGTTACAGTTAAAAAACAATATCTAATTTTGTTAAGATCAATTTTGATTTGTATAATAGTGATGATTAATCAATAAATCTCTAAAACAAAGACATTGCATTTCAAATAATTTGAAAATTAATTTATTTTAGTAGATCGTATAATAAATATTTATTGCATTTGTAATGTGATAAAGCCAGAAATTTAATAACAAAATTAATATAAAATCTTAAATTAATGTAGAAAAATAAACTTCAGTTGATAATATAAAAGGTATTAGAATTTTTATATTTCCGTTTGAATAATGATTTTAAAATAAATTAGCTATACATTATAAATGTATATTTAAACTTTTTAGAATTTAAATATAATTTCACATAATTCTGAAGCTATAACGAATTAAATCAGCTTAAAAATCATATTATTTGGTATTGAAAACATATATTAAGACACAATTGTTTATATATACAAGAAAGATAATTTTTGTCTTTTACTTTATTTATACATTTATTCTTACAAGCTCATTAATTTATACATTTCGTTCTTATAAAACTTATTTTAGTGTATCATCAAATTGATCTCTAATAACTATTCATGGTGAACTATTTATTCTCTAAGATACTAAAGTTTTTCTCTTGTAGTAAAGTTTTCAAGGATTGGTAGACTTTGGGAAATCATATAAAATACATATGAATGATAATGATAAAACTTACCTTTGCTA